AGCAAGAAAGTAAAATGTTACTGGGATTTGAATAGAGTGTAGTGTATGCTTATCCAAAAATTCGTGTCCCTTATAATGGTTATGGGGATCACTATTTATAGTGGTATCTTGGGAATGAGGTGCTAGAATCAAGCCCCTCTTTAATGACAATTATGAGGGCCATTGAAGAATGTATAAGGGTAAGTGATAAATGGTATATTCTCTGTAACGGACCATGCACTTAATACTATAGAATATTCTTTATTAAATACTACTAGGTGATAGACATTTACTTCGCCTTTATGAATATCATTCTCTCTAGTATCAAGCGAGATCGTTGTCCTCGGGCCCGACTGTCTTCTGTTTTCGACTCCACGTGTCAATCTCTCATGCTAACATTAAATATGAACATATTTTACCCCGTACACTAGCCTAGAAGGGTAACGATTTTGGAAATAAATAAAAAAAGAAGAAGAATATAGAGCCATTTATTTACCATTACAGGCAGCTAAACATAATATATGCAGAGAAGTCACTTGGTGGCCTGAATCCAAGTTCAGTGGGCTTAGTTTCTTAATTATTCTAGTCCATATCGTACAAAAGTATAGGGAAAGTACAGTATAACCGTTCCCCAAAATAATAGTAACATAATATATATTTTTTATATATTATATATTAATATACATATTTTATACATAATTAACGTATATTATTATATATTAAGTTAGTGCCTGTAATTAGTTTTTACCGACTGACCAAATATATTAAAGGGATCTTTACACAAATAGCCGGCCATATTTATTGTTTACATTTTCTAGCCATATACATAGATTATAAATTGAATATACATAAATTATGCATATTTTATACATCCACCGACTATTTTTAGTTTAATCAATTTGATGGACGGCTATTTGAGTTAATTCTTCTATATTAAAAGCCCAAACGTAGACGGGCCTAATCTTAGTAACCCAACTAATTGATCCTCAACTTACTATTTTAAGGTTTAAGCTAAATTATCCAACAGGTTACTTAATATCTGGGTTAGAAACTAACAACAAACTGAAATTATGGATAGAGAGAACATATTTTAATCCAAAGACTATCATAGAATTGTTTGAAAGGACCAACAAAAGTTGTGGTGGGGTGATAAGTACTCATTAATTCTTAACCATAGATCTTGGGTTCGAGTCCCTGGGTATGAAGTCGCCTTTGTAGGAAGCACTTTACTCCCAATGTGGTACTTTCCAACGCGAATCCGAATTTAGTCAGGCCCTAATGTGGGTACCGAACGCAGGACGAGAAACCAAAAAAAGAATTGATTGAAAGGTGCTCTTGAAATATTAAGCACGCAATACTTTACTTATTTGCTCAATTTGTTTTGATTCAAACAAACTTTTTAATAAGTAGTGTATTGAATACCTTTGTTTTATCCATTTTGAACGTCCTCATATTTAACAGAATCCACAAATTTGATACACTACCGATAAAATAACCAACGTCTTTTTACACCAAATATTTTTGTAGCAAGGAGAAGTGATTGACTGGATTCTACTATACTTGGGCCTCATAAAAGACTGGATACTACTGAATTTATTTGGAGTGTTGGGGCTCGGCCGAGCTGAGACGGAGTTAGGATTTTAATCCTATGGATTCAACAATTTAAAGTTTTTAGCATTGAACCAATTATACTTTTAAAATTATGGGTACATGTCTACTATTTATCTATAATTTTAGTGATTTTTACATATAAATTTATGCTCCATCAAAAGTACTGGATTTAGTTTAACCCGGTAACTCCATGTTGCATCTGTCCCTATGGCTGTCCAACGGGACGGGACGTCCCGTCCCGTCTCGGTCCCGTCCCGCGTCCCGTCCCGTCCTGTCCCACTTAATTTTAAACGGGATGGCCCCATGTTAAACGGGACACGAGATGGGACGGGATGGCCATTTCGTCCCGTTTATCCCATCCCATTTCGTCCCATTTCGTCCCGTCCCGCCCGTCCCGTCTGTCCCGTCCCGTCCCGCGTCCCTTTTTTTTTTTAAATTATAGCCGTTGGGCAACGGCTATAATTACAAAAATAACTGTTCCCAACGGCAAAAAACGGCCATATTTGGCCCCCACTCCCACCAAAACATCCCCCTACCCCCAAACTTTTAATATAATCCTTAAGTTTATTAAATTACACTTTGGACCTATTTTCTACTATAAATACCTCAATCCTTCTTCATTTCTTCCCACAAATATAAATCTATGGAAACAACAGGTGGTGAAAGTGCTCCTTCTACTTTTAAGTCTAGAGTAGAAGTTCTATGGGAAGATATGGATGATATAACAGGTTTTGATTCCTCTATTGATGATGAACTTGATTCTTATCTTAATCAAGGATTGGAAAGTATTAAAGACGAAGAAGGCAACGAACAACTTTTGGCATGGTGGAGGGAGTGTGGCAAGGCTTTTCCAACACTTTCCATAATGACCCGAGATATCCTTGCTATTCAAGCATCATCAGTAGCATCGGAGAGTACTTTTAGCGCGGCAAGATTTTAAATCGGAGATCATAGATATTCATTAGCGGAGGACAACCTAGAAATTTCCGTATTATTCAGAGATTGGATTAATTCAGAAAGAAGAAATCTTGGTTTTGAAAAATTAACCACTAGGGAAGAAGAAGAATACAATGAGATACTTAGCACTGGGAGCAATGACGACATGGAACTCATGGAACATCAATCAACATTGCCAATTCCAGAACAATGTCCGAGAAAAATTATAGATAAGTTACAACGAAGTTATATAGGAGCTTACAAATATTAGTATGATAATTTTTTATTGGCTACTAAGAGGCCTAGTTCAAAGTTCAAACAGAACCCTTCCTAGAAGGTGGCTGCATAGATTAGGTGCTCTTCAAAAGAATTATATTTGTATGTGAGATTTGAAAGTTCTATTAATAAAATAAAAGGCTCTAAGCGTTAAATTTGTTTTATGAATTCTCTTACACTCGAAATTATATTAAATAAATTATAACTCTATTATATATTTATAATTGCTAGAATATTTTATTACAAGTCTTTTGTTTTAATATTTTATAATTCTTTACTTAGTTTTCTAATTTTCGTTTAATTTTTAAATTTATTGAATAAGTCAAAAAACTAGATGTTGCAAACTTTAAAAACTTAGTCATTGCCAAAAGAATATCCGTTGTCAAACTCAATGCTTAAATAATTTTTTTTAAAATAACACTTAAGGCCCGCGAACCCGTCCCGTCCCGTCCCATCTCATTTGTTAGCGGGATGGGATGTGCCTACCGTCCGTCCCGTCCCGTTCCGTCCCGTCCCGTCCCGTTTGTTAGCGAGACGGGATGGACCTACCGTTTCATCCCGTTTGTCCCGTCCCATTTCGTCCCGTCCCGCCACCGTCCCGGCTAAATGTCGTCCCGTTCCGTCCTGTCCCGTTAATTTTGTCCCGTCCCGTCCCGTCCCGTCCCGTTGGACAGCCATATCCGTCCCTGCTGCCAAGGCATTGATTTATATTATGGGTGGCCAACCAATGTAGGCTACTTACCATAGAAAGACTTCTCAAGTTGCAAATACAACTTAGAGAGGTACATCAAACACTGGCAAGAATAAAAAGGAAACATCGGCCTCGATTCAAGAAGGAAATGATAGCAGCTATTTGGGGTGTTGTGGTATATCATACATGGAAAGGAAAGTAAGTGTGCGAAGGTAGACTCAAGCTAAGATTCTACTCGTGAACATAATGGTATACGTCTGCCTGACTGTGAGACCGACTGGTCGAACAGAGACAAAAATCGGCCATAGTAATCCGGGAGTCCCAAGTGGAAGGGCTCTCGCTCAACGGATCAAAGGTACGCCAAGAATAACAGGATGATGACTCCCATGGAGTTCCGAAGGGCAAATAATTTTATAAAAAAGATCCGATACCAAGTGAATGAAAAAAAAAGGGCTCTATTCTTGTGTAGTCTTTATTGACCTCGAACACAAGTTTTACCAGCCAAGCCAACCCGATATGATGAGCCATTCCCATCTCAAGTGGTGCCCCGAAGAATCTCTTTCTAGTAGCTCTAACACAATTAGGAGATTCTATAGGGGGTTTTATTTCTGAAGGTAACATGCTTGGTCCCGCTTATGGGGTCAAATCAATACGTTAAGATTTTATGACTCCTACTTCTAACTTTAATCTTGGAGCAAGGTGAGAACTACTAAATGTAGAGGTCTTTTGCAATTATTAATGTGTAATTAGTATGTTCTCTTGATGCTTAACTCCCATCGCACTCTTTCTGGAAGGTGGCAGTGGAATTAGGTGCTCCATAGATTTTGTTTTATTTGTTATTAATGATAATATTCACCGTTGTTACCCAAAATAAAGGAAAAGTGATTGCTATTTTGAAATTTTATGCATACACTAAATACAGACGAATTCCTGGATGTAATTTACAAGATTCATTGATCTACATGATACACAAATGTATATTCTATTCTTATCTATTACAGAAACCAAGGTAGTTAGTTATTATCCAATTAGAGAAGAAATAGTGTATATTTGAACCATTACATACTACTACAAATTAAAATAAAATACCAAATAGCCTTTACGGGGTGAAAATCCCTTCTGCAAGAAGCTTCCAAAGAGTAGTGAACAACTTGAAATCAACCACAACACCTATAGCAGTACACACATATATACATTGACAATATAATTTTTTTAAAAATATTATCAGTGCAATTTAATATATAGCAGATGTATTAAAAAATATCATAGTAGATTGCCATATTATTTTTTAGTTAAACCAAGAGTTATTCTTTTAGTGACCTGATAGGATACGAATTCTTTCACGAGTGTTTAGACGTTAAACAGAATTCGAATAGATAAGATAAAGTCTTTTTGAATTAGATTTTGTTTTATCCGATCACATCAAACATTAATCACTCCTATAAATATATGAGATCCTTCCTTTATTCTTCGTTCTCTTAATTCCCCTTCATACTACTCAGAAAACGCCATGACAAAACTAGCCACAATCTTTATTTTTCTTTTCTCTTTTGCAACTTTGTGCCATTCTTTTCCTCTATCAACAAGCTCTAGATGGATAGTAGATGAAGAAACTGGCCAAAGAGTAAAATTAGTTTGTGGAAATTGGGCTGCCCATTTACAAACTATGTTACCAGAAGGCTTAGATCAGCAGCCCGTTAGTCAAATTGCTAGGCACATATCATTAATGGGCTTTAATTGTGTCCGTTTAACATGGGCTACTTATATGTTTACTCGCCATTCAAATCTGACTGTGGCCCAATCTTTTATTAATAATGGGCTTAATAATGCTATGTCTGGATTGGGCCAGAATAATCCACAACTTTTGGGCCTAACTGTTGTTGAGGCCCAAAAGGCTGTGATTGAGGAATTGGGCCGACATGGTGTGATGTCTGTGCTTGATAATCAAGTTGGTGAGCCCATGTGGTGTTGTGGGAGTAATGATGGAAATGGTTTTTGGGGAGATAAGTATTTTGAACCTAAAGAATGGTTAAAAGGATTGGATATTGTTGCTAATCGATACAAGGATACACCAATGGTATGTATAAATCATATTTAGTTTTGTTTGTATTTATTATTTTTAAAAAAAGAGCAGATCGGTGCACAAAACATCCCACATTCATACAATGTTGAAAAGGGCCGCACCCAGAGGCGGATCCAAGATTTAATGTTTATGGGTTCCTGCAACGATTTTGAGTGAATTTTCAATAGTAACTGGATTCACATTCAAATATTTATAGATATTTAGTGAATTTATCGAATATATTTATATTGTTTGGACAAAAACTACTGGGTTCACGTGAACCCGTAGGTTACAAGGTGGATTCGCCCCTGGTCGCACCTTAAGGAGTGTGCCGTAGACAATCTACCCTAATACAACTATGAGTGGTTGCTTCCATGACTGGAACTCGTGGCCTTTAGGTCATATTGAGCAACTTTACCGTTGCTTCAACGGTCCCCTTCCTTTCTTTGTATTTATAATTATTTTAAAAAATTAAAATCTTTTAAGAAATAAAAAATACAAAGAGTTGAAGGCAATTCCTTGAAATAAGCTATTGTTGAATTTATTTGTTGTGCTCCTTTGTAGATAAATTGTTATTGATTTTAATTTACTTTTTGTATCTAGGTTATCGGCATTAGTCTACGTAACGAGCTACGTGGTCCTCTTCAAAACCAAAGTGTATGGTACGAGTATGTTGAGAAGGGTGCAAAAACAATTCATAGGGCTAACCCTAATCTTCTATTAATCATATCAGGATTAGATTATGATCTTGATTTTACCTTCTTAAAGGAAAAACCCTTGAACTTAAACATGAGAAATAAGATTGTATTCGAGACTCATAGGTATTCATTTACTGAGGGACAAGCAAATTGGTTTTTAACTCAGCCATTAAACAAAGTTTGTGATACTATTAAAGAAGAAATTATGAATAAATCAGGGTTTTTGATTAAGGGAAAAAATGCAGCTCCTTTATTTGTTAGTGAATTTGGTATTGACCAAAGGGGAACGAACCAGGCCGACAATTTGTTCTTGGGCTGTTTTCTTTCACTTTTAGCAGAATTGGATTTGGATTGGGCCGTTTGGGCTTTGCAAGGTAATTATTATACAAGAGAAGGTCAACCAGGAATGGAGGAAATGTATGGGATGTTTAATTCTACATGGAATTCTCTTAGAAGTCCTGAATATCATGCAAAATTACAACTTATTCAACAAAAACTCCAAGGTAAAAGTTTTACTATTTCTTTTGTCTTATGTCCCTCCTTTTGGTAAGAGAATTGTTTGGAATTGAATCCTATCAAGGTGTCTGCTAATGGATTTGACGATAGTGTAAAGAATTTTATACTGTTAGTGTATTTTAACTTATTGAAACAATTAATCTGTCTAATTACATGGAAGTTAACTTCTTTATATTGATTTAACTTCTTTACATTGGTATTATCTGTTGTAACAGCTAACCTGTTTTATTTTTTGGAGTTTAACTTGTTCATACCAACTTATCTTCTATACAATTGATAGTTTATAGACTTTGTATTCTACATACACAATACAATTGATAGATTATAGTATTTGTATACTACATACACTGATAATCTGAAGAAATTTATACTATTATTTTATTTAATTTGTTATAGTAGGTAACTACCTTACTTTCTAGTATTTAACTTTTACATATTGTTAGTTAAAAAGAATTTTAACGGTATTAGTCAAAAAGATACATACAAGTAACCGTCCACTAAAAATGAGATTAGTAACATAAAATATAAGAAAAGCTACATGCTACGACACGTTAAAGATAGATTCAATTTTAAAGTTTGTTATCTGTTATTTTAAGTGACGTGATAGTAAAAGAATCTTTTACACTTATTGAAGTTAAACTTGCATATTTACTCGAGTGCATTGTTACTTTCACTATGTTAACTCCTAGTATATTTGAATTTTATAGATCCAAAATCAAAACAACCAATGTACCACTTATTATTCCATCCACAAAGTGGCAAATGCTTGCATGCTGCAGCCAACAATGTATTATATGCAAGTGATTGCATCGGAGCAAGCCGGTGGAGCTACGACGGCGACGACACGCCGATCCGATTGACCGGAACTTCTCTCTGTCTCACAACATCAAGAGAAGGTTTGCCTGTAACTCTTTCAACAGATTGCAGTGAACAAAGTACATGGAAATTTGTTTCAAATTATCAACTTTCAAATCATGATGAAAATGGCACTGAGTTGTGTTTGGATTTTGATACCTATTATTCTTCCTCTAAAGTTTTGGTTAGAAAATGCATTGGCTTAGATGAGAAGAGCAATGACAATCCTCAAACTCAATGGTTCCAGTTTGTCTCAGCCAATGTTTAGTAGAGTTCTTAGTTATTTCAATGTTTAGCGATTATTTTTGGTATATTTTAGTTTACGTCTTTGTTTGACTCTTAATTTCAATCCTCTGTTTGGAATATTTTGAGTACATTTTAATATATTCCGTTTTTATAAGACATGAAATTGGAATGAGGGGATCTTGTTTAATTGATCTTATATTACAGTGTGACATTTTATATCCTTGAATAGCCCCATTTGAAAATTATTGGTTGCAGATAAAATTATTAACGGCTGACATTCCTTATTAATAAATTGTTGTGTTTCAGTCTTCGAATAGAAATAAATGGTAGAAAATGGATTGACATTGGCACATAATCCCGTATCAAAGAGTAATTCTGAACCTTTGAGTATACTAATATTTTCCTCCTTTTTTTCTTGCTGTGTCATCATATTTTCTTAAATGACTTTTTAACTTTTGAATATGTCAAAGATTTACAAAGCGAGAAAAAGAGAAAAAGAAGACATATAACAATGGAATAATTTGGTAAATAGCAACAACCTAGAGATTTTCCTCGTAACTTTTCAAAGTTTTTTTCTCCATAATATTCTTGTTTTTGTTTTTTGTGGGTTTGCGGTGTTTTTTTTTTTTTTTTTTAAAAACAATATCGATGTACCATAATTAAATGAGTCAAATGGGTAGTAGAAGTCCTCTCCTTGTTTTCAGGTCAAGACCTCTTATCATTAGTGAAGTTTGTGGTTATACAACGAAATTTAAAGTAAGTTTTGTGTCAACAGCTTCTTGTTAGAGCAAAGATTATACTAATATGAATTTGATTATGAGAGACAAATGAAGGAATTAACGACCCCATCATGGATCTTTGCAGAATGAGACAACAAATAAAGCTACTTTAATACCTAAATGATGTCTTATCCATAATCACTAGGAATCAACCATTAAGCAGCAGAACAAAGCATAGTATAACTTTTTTTTTGGTCCAATAGAAGAACTTTTAAAAGAAACATATTATCACTTTTAGCCCGCGCCAGAAACTATTTACATTTAATAGCCGAAAAAGTGTATAAAACTTGTATAATTTTTATATATAACATAGAGAATGTATATATATACAAAAAATATACAAAATTTTATACTATTTTTTCGACTATTATTTTTACAGCGGCTTTACAGTGTCATTTTTCCAAAATACTCATTTCAGTGATATTATCAGTTTTTAATATTTTTGTACACATCTTTAGAAAGACACTAAAGGCGTTTGTTATAAGAATATTCGTCTAAATTACACATTACTTTCCCTTCAAATATCTTACTTTATTAATTGAAACTGTAGACAAAAAATTTACGTCGAGAAAATAATTGAGACCGAAAAATATTGCAACACTAGTAATATTTTATTTCAAATAGTTTGAGCGTTACAATATCTATGGTTCCTCTGATTCTTCTTTTCAACTGTAAATTAATTCAATGACCTTTGAGCTTGATCTTGAATCTATATTCATTGCCACGAACTTTGATCTTGAATTCAACTAGCACGAACTTTGATTTGAACTCGTACTCCTTGAATCTTGATTTGTTCTTTGTTCTTGAACTTGAACTTTATTTCTTAAAGCTTGAACTTAACTGCTTGAAACTTGAAATTTGTGGGAGAATTTTCAGTGTTTGATCCACGAGCTCTTTCTTGCTTCTTGTTATGACTTATTGTATCTTTTCTGAGTTATGAAGAGCCATATTTATAGTTGTAGAATGGAGAAGTTGTGATGCGAATAAACTCTTTCCGACTAATCACATTGAAGAGTGACAAGACCGCATTTGATTGGTTAAAATATGTCACTTGCACATCTGGCGTGATTTCATGGGCCTTTTGATTTGATTTGGCATCCCTTGTCATTTGTACACATGTCATGATCATATTGACTCTTTCGTTTGACTTGGCGCGCCATGTCATTTGACACGTGGCATGAAACTAGTAATCTAAGAAGATGACATATTGAGCCTATAAAGTGAGCTAATCATTTGTTGCCCAACAAAATGGGCTAGCCTAATCAATATTTATTGGATTTAAGTAATTAATCCAACTATATTGGCACATAATATTTATTCGAACTAATATATTTAACATATAGTCCAAATGATTTAATTGAATTTAAATCCAATAAAATTTAAATGCTCACAGAAACATTAGTGATAAATCTTAAAAAAGAGGTAATAAATAATTCCATATTTTTCTAAAATGGTAATAGTTTATAACTAGTCCGATAGGAAGTTTGGTAATTAGACTCAACTTTGGCAAGTGTGATGTTTAAGACCTATTTGACTATGCTTTTGCACAAGACTCCCAAAGTTCTTTCCTCGTTTGTTGCAAAGTCTGACTTACCCTACACAAAGATGTTCTTCTTTCCAAAAAATTAAACTCTTTACCAATTCAAATTTAAGAAATTAAAGTTTAATTAGCTCAATCAAAACATAATCTCTTCACAAGACCTACATTTTCGACTGCCTAAACTTGAAACAAAATAAACTACTATGACTCCAGCATTAACTTTTCTCACATAGTCTATATGCGATTGAGGAATCAATGAGAATGCCTTAGTGGTTAGTGTCTTCTATTAAATACATAATTAACTAGATAAAGCGTGATTTCTTTAATACTTCAAGCTTGATTTACATATGTTAACATAATAGTAGACTAGGAAGTTACGTTCGAGATCTCAACATCACTTTTCATGTGCTTAGCCTATGAAAAAGAATAAAGTCCGCAAGTGAGGAGCGTGTTGAAAACACAATTAACGAAATAAAAATATGCTCTCTAACGGGTTAGGTTTTTTTTTTTTCCTTATTTTTAGTGAGAGAAAAAACAAGGGAGTAAAGAATGTCTAACTGGATAACAATTGCCGTAAAACTAATAGGGCAAGACAAGGTTAATACCCAGGATTATAATTTCACCTCCTATATGAGATAGATAATCTCAAAATTCTAGTATTAATTTTATCATAGTTTAACTAATACGTACAACCAAACACTGAACATAAATTTAATTCCCAATTGTATACTGAAAATCTGAAATAACTCCTTAATCCTGATAAACAAACGACCCCTTAAAATTTAAATTCGTAATATTGTGATTCAAATGGTGACATTTGAAAAAGAAAACTGAAGTGGCTACAGAAGAACATTTCCGGTCAATAAATGATGAATGAAGGTAGTTGGAGCTTTAATCAATACTTCACTCACTTCAAAGACACACTATGGTAGGTCCTTTGAAAGTGTTACTTCTCTCGTTCATTTTTAATGTTTGGTTAGAGAGTAAAATATTTTTGTTAGAAAAATAATTTTTATGCTACTCTCTTGACCCGTCCTTTCCCCTACGTTTCCTGTGCTCTCCCCCCACTCCCAACCCAAATACCCAACTTTTTCAGGATTTTATTTTCTTCATGAATTTAATTATTCTTTTAAAAATTCACACAAAACCAAGGTAACTAATGTGTTGCTTTACTTTTTTCATGCAAAAATAATATTGAAATTTGTGCTACATAACTAAAAAGAAAATATTCTTTTTTTGAAAAAAAGGTACCCTTTCTACAACGTACAAAAAAAATACTCATTTTATTGAAATGAAAATAAAAATACTTTTTACTACATATTTTTTTAAAAATAAAAGATAATACTTTTTCTACATTATGAAAAGAAAGTACTTTTTATTAAAATAAAAGAAAATACTTTTTACTGCATCATTTTGTTGAAAAGAAATAAAATACTTTTTTTGAATCATGATAAAAATACTCATTTTATTGAAATGAAAAAGAAAGTACTTTATCTACAACATCAAAAAAAGTACTCTTAATAATATTCACTTGAATTTCTTGATTTACGAGGTCGAGTATTTGCACTTTAGATCTCATGACTCGACCTGTTTTATTTATGGTTGAGGGTGGGGGTAGGGGGGAAGGGTTTGGGTAGNTTTGGAAAATATTTTTTCTTCTTTTGATAGGAAAAATATTTTTCTCCGATTGGAGAAAAATGATTTGATGAGAATTTTTTTTTTCAAAACATTTAAGCCAACCAAACATGAAAAAATTGGAAAATATTTTCTGAAAATTATTTTCCTTCATACCGAATACAGTAATATACTCTATGTATTTTACAATTTTACCCATAATAATGATAGTATTTTCAAAAGTCTTGAGAAATGATTTGGGTAATGTGTAGTTAATAATAAGGGTAAAAAGGAAAAAAAGATTATTTTTCTCTTGATTTAGTATAGTGGACAAATAAAAGTGAAAATATATTTTTATTATAGTGGACAAGCAAAAGTGAACGGAGGGAGTAATAGATTAAGATGTTGTGCCAAAACTATACGAAATAAATCGTCTGAACGACGTACATGAGCATTCACAATTTGTGGCGGATCCACATCACTCATTAACTTTGACTATATTTGGTAAATTTTTATAGACAATTATAAAAATATTTCGATAAATATAGAGTGAGCACCCACAATTAAATTTATTTTTTCTCTTCTTTTGAAATTTTTTTCGGTGAGCACCCATGACTTTAAAATTTTGAATCCGCCACCGTTAACAATGCCGTTTAAATCACTTTTAACTTCAAATCTGTGCAAGTGTTTTTAATTGCATGACCTAGCTAGGTAAATTTTACTTTAACTCTTTTAAGTAAACTACTAAAGTGAACTAGCTAGGTATTCTGGGAACTATATCAAAAGATTAAAAATGGCTCTCATTTACTATGGGATTATAACAACTAAGTCAAATCAAAGGTTATACTTTATTTGTTTTGGTTAAAAATGCTGCGATTTATCTCAAAGTGTGTGATTTCTTTACTTTGTGAACTGCAACGTAACGAATTAAAGACGACTCCACTTTTTCGGTTATTGATTGATATGCTATCAACCTCTATTATAGCTGAAGGTTTTGTAGATTTCATGCAAAAGATTTGCTTCATAATTGGGCCAGATCCGGGTACTAGATGACCCACGAGCCCATTAGTTATTTCTCTACGTAAAACCCTAGAGTTTTGGGTGTTTACGATGTGACTTTCAATGATAATAGAA